AAGATTTAAGTCACACCCTCTGTTTCATCTGGCCATGTTTTCTTGACTGTGCCCGGGATTTGATCCTTGCCTAGAAACCATTTCTTAATTTTAGCATCATTTGCCATCTGGAGAGGCTGGGCATTTTTAAATCCTAGCTCCTTTATGTTGAACATTTTTTTTCACCTTCTCTCTCTCTTATTTTATTATGAATAGCAATAAGAAGCCAAGCGACACCTTCAGTATTCTGTCCGAAAATCTCCTTAGCTAGATCACTCAGTCCATTAGGTACATTAAACTTACCAGGTTATCACCAACAACAGTGTTGCAAAATTTTCCATTTCATAACAGGGATCCTGTTTTTACCAAACTCCACGAAGAGTTTCCTCGCTTTGCTTTAGGCCTCCCCAGCAGCTTCCTCAAAGGCCATCAGACTTCTACATAGTCTCTCAAGACAACTTAAACACTAACACTCCCCTCCAAGTCCATCCAGCGCCTGCCCACTGCCAGTTCCGACACGCGCCCACATCTCAGCCTGGCAGCACTCCTCTCCCAGTACCAGCTACCTATTGCAGATTACCTACTGCAGATTAGTCCAGAACTTAGTGGCTTTAAACAGTCATCACTTACTATCTCAAGGGCTCCATGTGTCAGGAATTTAGAGTGGCTTAGCTGGGCAATTCTGGCTTGGGGTCTCTCTGAGTCTCAGTTAAGATGTCAGCCAGGGCTGCACTGGGCTGAAGGTTTGGAGCTAGAGGATCCACTTCCAAGGTGGCTCACTCACATGGCAAGTGGGGCGGGCTATTGGCAAGAGGCCTCAGTTGCACTCCATGTGGCCTCTCTAGAGGGCTGCTTGAGTGTCCTCATGACATGGTGGCTGACTTACTCCAAAATAAATTATACAAAAGAACAAGGTGAAAACTGCTGTGCCCTTTATGAGCTAGCAGTGGTCACTAAGGTTAGTCCAGTTCACGGAGGGAGGTCTGAACAAGGGCACGAACAAGAAGACATGGATCAAGGCTACCATGAGTAGGTAAGTCACTTAGCTTCTTGCAAGCTGCAAAATAAGAATAGCAATACCTTCCTCAGGGTATGGTTATGAGGATTAAACAAGATAATGTATCTAAAGCACAGTAGCTGCCAAGAGTAAATACTGGCAGGTCTGGCTGACGCTGTCTTTGGTGGTATCTCTCTCAGGCTGCCAAGAGATAGCAGAGGAATTCCGTGCCCAGGAAATTGACGGGCAAGCTCTGCTGCTGCTCAAGGAAGACCACCTGATGAGCGCCATGAACATCAAGCTGGGGCCCGCCCTGAAGATCTACGCTCGCATCAGCATGCTCAAGGACTCCTAGGGCTGGCCGGGGAAGCCAGCATTCTGGCCCAGGCTTCCTCCTCCCGACTGAGCAGAGCCAGACAGACATTCCTTAGGGACCCAGAAATGGGGCCAGTCGGAGGGAAGGGGCTCTCCCTAGGGGCGTGGCTGGTGAGGAGGTCTGGGCACCTCCTCTGTGGCTCTCAGGGGCCTTTCATTTCTGTGGGAGGGGCAGAGAGGTAGGTGGCACAGAAGATGGGGCTTTATGCTTGTAAATATTGATAGCACTGGCTTCCTCCAAAGTCCCAATCCTCTAGCCCCGCTCTCTTCCCCTCTATCTGTCCCCCATTTTCCAGGGGGTATATGGTCAGGGCTCCCCAACCTGAGTTGGGTTACTTCCAAGGGCAGCCAGCAGGCCTGGATAGAGGCCTAGAAAGCCCTTGCCTTCCTTCCTCCCACTTCTTTCTCCAGGCCTGGTTAACTCTTCCGTTGCCGGCTTCTCCCCCTTCAGCCTGCCTCTGCAGCAGCCGGGGTTCTCCCCCGTTCCCTCTGCAGGTGGAGAGAGAGAAGCTGGGCCCAGTTGGGCCATGCCTGCTGGCGCAGACGCCTTAACGCTGTGTGTATGACTGTATGACTGTGTGGGAGCCTGGACTGACAGATAGGCCAAGGGCCATCCTCTGGCATCTCCAGGTGTTTTGTAGCAAACAGCCACTTAGTGCTTTGTCCTGGACTCCACTCGGTCTCAGGATGGGGAATAGCAAAGAAGGACAGCCTCCGTGCAGAGAGGCAAGATCAGAGAGAGACGGAGATCAGATTTCCCTTTCCAGACTGGTCAAGGTGTCTCTGACGCCCCTGCCCCACACTGTGAAGCTCCCCTGACTGCCCTCCTGGCTCACAAACAGCATTAAGAAAGCTGCGGGTGGGCTGGGCCGCAAAGCCCGGGGGTGGAGCCAGGCCAGCCTCCTGGTCCGCCTGCGGGGCTGCCCTGCAAGCCCCAGTGAACTCTGAGGGGAGAGAACAGCTGGTGTGACCGTGATGTGATGTGACGAAGACAGCTCTTGGCCTCCCGCTCCCACACTTTGCCTATAAAACTTGCTAGCAGCAGTTGGAGCTGCCTGAGGAGGAGGCAGGGCAGGAAGGGCGAGGGCCTGCCTCTGACTTGCCCTGTCCTTTGCAGGCTCCTGGGGGTGTCCTTTGCAGAAAGGGGGTGGGCACCTTTCTCAGCTTGTTCTATTCCCCACCCACACCCCCAGCCAGGGTTGGAAATGAAGGACTTTTTTTAACCTTTTTTGTTTTTTAAAAATAAATCTGTAAAATCCATCATCTCTTCTGTGCCTTTCTTCCCTAGGGGTGCCTATCTCTAGGCCCAAATGGCTACTTTTCACCCATACAGAAAGAGGTGGGTCCCTGGGTTGGGGAAGTCACCTTAACTAGACAGCATATTCTGCACACTTTGCTGGGGCCAGGTCATTTGAGGGTGCCCCAGTTCACATTGGGAGAGCAGATACCAGCTCTGCTTTTCACACGAGTGAAGGATTGGGAGGGAGGATTGGATTGGGAGGATCCAGAAGCCACTTAGACTCTCAGCCATTCCCACTTGGGAGACGGACTCTGTTGGGCCAGCAGCATCTGGAACACCTGGGGCAGAACTCAGACTCTCCCAACCTCCAGCAGACATCTCTGGATGGAGCTACCCAGTGTCCAGAATAGCCCTTGAGACAGCTTTGGTTCAAAAAGCACTTTCGAAGCATTTTTTGGATGCTGAAGTAGAAAATGATAAGGACAGAGGAGGTAACACCTAAGCCTTGAATAAAGGAGGAGAAAGGGCATTGCCGACCAAGGCAGTATGTGCAAAGGCACAGTGAACGTTGCCCTGTGGGTGAGTGGGAGGCCAGCTGGCTGGATGGGATGCCGTGCATGCCGCTAACGGCATGTGCTGACCATGGCCTCTGTGAACCAGGCCCCGCGCTAGAAACCAGGCTGAGGGTGAAGAAAAGAACCACGTGCCCCGTCCTGTAGAGCAAAATCCCTGTATCCTTGGGAGAAGGGAAGAGGAGACAGCTGGCCTTACTGTTCCTTCCCCTTAGTCACACGTTTTCTTAAGGCAGTGTTTCCACCTGTTAAGAATGTGGGTTTTGAGAGCCAGGCCCCAACCTACTGAATCAGAACCTCTAAAGGAAGATGAAGCACAGTTAACTTTTAAGAACCAATACTCATATCTTGAGAACTCCTCTCTGGAATGCCTGTTAAAATGTAACCATTATCTGGAGGAGGAAGAGAAACAAACCCATTAGTTAATCCCCAAAAGGTGGAAGGAGGGGCTGGAAAACCTTGTGCCCCAGGAGGCAGGGAGTGGCTAGCAGGACCCTGAGCTGGCAGGGGGCTCGCATGCTAAGGAATGAGAGCCATGTGCACAGCTGCTGTGCTGGCCTCCAGGACTCTGGGCCATTTACCTCCTGGACCTAGATTTTCCCTTTATGGAAGAAAATGAAAATCAGGCCCCACCTGAGTTTGTTCTTACCTATGTGGTAAAGAGGGAGGGAAGCAAAACCACTCCTAAAAGAAGATATGGTGATTTGACTCACACAGATAAGTATCCATGTTCTTTAGTTGAAAAGTCCCAACCACCTCTTCCAAGTTTGAAGGGTACGTCCTTAAAAATAAATTTGCTCCTACTGTTTACATTTTACACAGAATTTTGCAAACCCTTTTTGATCATGATACCCAGTTCCCTCCCCACCTCCCCAGACAGTTTTGCTCTGTGGCCCAGGCTGGAGTGCAGTGGCCTCGTCACAGCTCACTGCAACCTTGAACTCCTGGGCTCAAATGATCCTTCCGCCTCAGCCTCCTGAGTAGCTGGGACTACAGGTATGCATCAACATGCCTGGCTAATTTTTTTCTCTATTTTTTGTAGAGATGGGGGGCGGTCTCACTCTTGCTCAGGCTGGTCTTGAACTACTGGCCTCAAATGATCCTCCCGCCTCGGCCACCCTGAGTGCTAGGATTACAGGTGTGAACCATCATGCCAGTCATGACTGTTTCTAAAAATATTTCCCAGCCAGGTGTGGTGGCTCACACCTGTAATCCTAGCACTCTAGGAGGCCCAGGCAGGAGGATGGCTTGAGCTCAGGAGCTCGAGACCAGACAGAGCAAGAGCCAGACCCCATCTCTACTAAAAATAGAAAGAAATTAGCCGGACAACTAAAATATAGAGAAAAAATTAGCTGGGCATGGTGGCTCATGCCTGTAGTCCCAGCTACTCGGGAGGCTGAGGCAGTAGGATCCCTTGAGCCCAGGAGTTTGAGGTTGCTGTTGTTACAGCAAAATTGACCGGGAACAGACCAAGAGGCAGACTTAAGTACAGCAAAACAGGTTTTATTACAATGGAGGGCTCAGAGGGGACTCGCCACCAAATTCTGAGCCAAAACTCAAGAGCCTCCAGCCAACCAGAGCTGGCCTACTCAGATCCACCCTCTTCCAGGCGATTGGCCCCAAAGGGGCTGCCAGCCCCCACTGCACCTGGGGCCAGTTTCCTCCAGGAGGGCCCGCCCCGGGCAGGTCCCCCTCAGACAGTCCATCACTCCTGTGAGTGTGGTTCCTGAAGCAGACGGGCAGGAGCTGCTTTGCCACTTCTCCAGCCAGAGGCCATTTCTTCCCTGGCTCTGAGCTCAGAGAGTTCGTTGCAGTCTGTCCTATCGGCCTCTCGATAATGGCTCTCAAAGAGGGACTCGGGTGAGGGGGGACTGCTGACTTAAGAGGGGTCTAGTCTCGTGGCCGAAACAGTTACAAAGAGTGTAACGGTCTTTTACACATTTTGTTTTAGGGAGGGAGTGGGTCGCAGTTGACAGTTGCAATGGGGTTATCTTCAGCGGGGCCAGGGTCGGCCACCTGGGTTCCCGGTACAGGAGCTGCTGCAAGCAGTTTACCAAGCGAGAGAGTGACAGCTGCTAGGGGAAACAGCAGGGGTGGAGGCGTGTCAGTGGGATTTCCTACTTCACTGTGAGCGAGGCTGACCCCACAGCACTCTAGCCCGGGCAACAGAGCAAGACTCTGTCTCAAAAACAAAAACAAAAATATTTCCCAACCTTGTATACACACTTAAATATATATTAATGGAAAAATTTCATGAAACAAAACCTACCCTTACACACAATACATTCTGATATTTTCTTTTCAGTTGTCTTCCTGTTCATACTATTAAATCTTGGTCACAATCCACTAATCTGATTTCACAGCCCTCTGATGGGTGGCAGCTCACTTGTAAAAATGCTGCCCAGAGTAAACTTTACAGAACTGTTCCACATCCATGGTCTTACACTCTCCTGGGGACTGGTGTATGTACACCATTTTACTGAGGAGGTAAAGGACTCCATGTGGTGAACTGTCCAAGGTCACAATCAAGTGCCCAGTGCCCTTCAGCTCAGCCTGAGGCTCTGTGCAGAACAGGGTTTCCCCTGGGTGGCAAACACCACACCCTGATTCCCGGGGAGGGACGAGGAGTCTACACAAAAAAAAACTCAAGGGCCTCCAGCCAACCAGAGCTGGCCTACTCAGATCCACCCTCTTCCAGGTGATTGGCCCCAAAGGGGCTGCCAGCCCCCACTGCACCTGGGGCCAGTTTCCTCCAGGAGGGCCCGCCCTGGGCAGGTCCCCCTCAGACAGTCCATCCCTGATCACTCCTGTGAGTGTGGTTCCTGAAGCAGACGGGCAGGAGCTGCTTTGCCACTTCTCCAGCCAGAGGCCATTTCTTCCCTGGCTCTGAGCTCAGAGTTCGTTGCAGTCTGTCCTATCAGCCTCTCGATAATGGCTCTCAAAGAGGGACTCGGGTGAGTGGGGACTGCTGACTTAAGAGGGGTCCAGTCTGGTGGCCGAAACAGTCCAAAGGGGAGGTACCAAAGCTAGCCACTGAGTACTAGCTGAGTCACAGGTTCTGGGAAAAGGTGACTCACAGAGGGGATGTAGTTCAAGGAATAGAAAGACGGACAGTCCGTGCAGATGGACACCGAGGCGGGGGAGGCTGTATCCCAGGAGACCTTGTAGCTGATGAAAACTGGACTCCTCTTGCTTCCCCTAAACTGCCCTGGCGAGCCAGAAAGCAAAGACCCAGGGCACGTTCCCTTCCCCACTGCAACTCAGAGCTCTCTCTATTCCCACTGGGGCTGACTGCCCAGGACTAGAAACTTGTTCCCCCTTAAGAACTAATGACTTATCTTTAACCTCTTCTTGAAAGCAAGGAGAGTGGGGACCAGGGCACAGTGTGGGGCTTAAGGGCCCCTGCCTTCTGCAGGTAGAGCTGGGGTGGGACTAGATCCTTCTGGAAATATCTGACCAAGGAATGTGGGGGCGTGAGCCAGGCTGGGGCCTCCACAGACAAAGGGCTCCCAGGCTCGGCTATGGGAGGGGACAGGAGGAACTGGTGGGTCCCTACCCCAGGCCCTGGGTCTCCACACCCTCTCAGATCTGACCACTGGGGCTCGTCTGGGCCACTCAGGGCTAGCTCTGCCTGGCTGCGGCCCAGTGCCAGAGATAAGTATCAGCCTGCCCTACCCTGGTTGGGAGGGGGCTGGTGAAGAGGGTTGGGACAGCCACCCAGGTCAGGGAGAGGCCCCTCCAGCCTTTTCCTGCCCCTGTAGCACCTGCATAGTACCCTGCATCCCCAGGGTGCACCCCCGAGGCAATCGTGCCAGCTGCCAGTATCAGCTTTGACCGGCCTTCCAGGAGCCGGAAAAGCCCAGCTGCTGCCAGCCCTCCAGCTGGGACAGGAACTGAAGATGGAGTGGGGAGGGGGAGGCCTCTTGCAGCAGAGACAGTGACCCGCTGGAAATGTGAGGTGACTTGGGAGAAGCCAAGCCTATAGTGAAAAATAGCAGGGCACGGACCCTTGGAAGAGAAGCCTCAAGGCTGAGCTGGGGCCAGGTCGAAAGGAGCCCAAATGCCATCCACACTGGAAGCTCTGGCTCGGGAGTCAGACAGACCTGCTCAAAGCTTGTCCCACCACTGACCAGCTGTGTGCCCCTAATCAAGTGGTTTAACCTTTCTGAGCTTCGGTTTCCTCATTTATAAAGTAGAGATAATCACAGCATCTCCTTCAAGGGACTGTGGTCAGACCTCGATGAGACAGGCACATAAAACATTTGGCAGAGTGTCTGGCTCAGTAGGTGTCTGGGATTATTAACAAGGAGTGCAGACTTAATCCTGAAGAAAATGGGGTTTTACGCAAAGAAGTTACAGTTTGGAAAAGAGAATGGAGACAAAGACCCATTCATTGCTTCATTCATTTACTGAACAAATAATTATTAACACTATGAATTATAAGGCAGGCTCTGGGATTTGGCACCAAGAATACAAAGTCTAATAAAACAAAGAAACTCACAGCCTAGCAGGGTAAACAGTCTCCAAGGACAGGAGGAGAGGTCTGGAAGAGGTACAGAGGCACAAACTGGGGGAGGGGGTGGAGGGGTGTCAAGGAAGTTGCCACACAAGAGCAAGCTGGCACTGACGAATCATTCGGAGCTTGCTGGTAGATGACAAGAAAAGCGCAATCTACGTATAGAAGGGAAGGCAGCGGTCGTTGCTAGCTTAGGAAAATTCACGGTGCAGGGTAAAGGATGGACACTTGTAACTGAGACTGGAACGATGAGAGGACAAGCCTTGCAGAGGTGAGTTGGAAGGCCAGGCGGCCTTGTGAAGGGGCAGAGCGGCGGGATGAGATGGGAGGTGGCAGAGGCCAGAAGCCACGGAGCTCGGCGGACTCTAAGAGCAGTGAGAAGGGAGGCCTTGAAGAAGGGAGGGCAGTGTTCTCGTTCACGTCCTGGAGCAGGGACTGCAGGGGCAAGAGCAGAAGCAGGAGGCTGGTGGGGCTGGGAAGGCTGTCCAGGTGAGAGACACGGTGGCCTGGAGCAGAACGAGAGGAGGCTGGGTGTGGGGAGCACCCAGAGGGATTGCTGGTGGGTGCGTGTTGGGACTGAGAGGAGTCAAGAAGGACTCCTAGGTATCCAGATTGAGAAACTAAAATCAATTAACTTTAACAATATTTTTATTTAACCCAACATGTCTCAAACTACACCTGTTTCTTTTCACTTTTTAAATGTGGCAACTAGAAAATTTTAAATTACTTAGGTGGCTCACATATTTCTATTGGACAATACTATTCTCGATCTCTTCCTACACAATATAAAATACAGTTTATGGACATACATGATTGTAAACACAGGGACACAGTTAGGAGATCCCCCTCCCACTGGCACAGTCGGCCACTACATACTGGTTATGTTACTCCCTTTTCCACTTAATACATTAGGGTCCCTTTTCCAGAGAGTACATATACAACTACCTCATGCTTTTTAATGTTCACATTGATCTCCACTGTACAGGTTGAGTATCTCTAATCCAAAAATCTGAAATCCGAATCACTCTAAAACCCAAAACTTTTTGAGAACAGAACATTCAAAAGAAATGCTCACTGGAGCATTTCAGATTTCAGATTTTCAGATTAGGGATGTTTAGACAGTAAGTATAATGCAAATATTTCAAAATCTGAAAAAAATCCAAAATCCAAACCACTTCTGGTCTCAAGCATTGATAAGGGATACTCAACCTGCATAGATATGCATAATTCATTCATCCAGTTCCCAACTGATGAACCTGAGGCTGTTTATATCCATTTGCTTTTTCAAACGATGCTATGGGACCATCCCTGGACTGGTCACTGTGGTGTCGCCATTCCCAGAGGCAGGAAAACTGGGCCAGGGGCCGTGAGCACTGAGAAGGCTACAGTGGAGGGGGCAGATCTGGAAGGCTTCTTAGGCATGGCTAAGAGATGGGGCTTTGTCCTGCAGTCAGCAGAAAGCCATAAAACAACTTGGTTTTTTGGTAAATTACTAACTTTGAAATTTTCCTTCATTAAAAAAAAGCAATATAAGTATATTACAGACAATTGGAGAGAAAAATAAAGAAAAACTCTACTGTAATCTTACTGCACACTTAAGTGTTTCCTTCTGGACTTATTTTCTAACACATATTTTTATTCTCGATAAACTATGATCATGGTACAGATAGATTTTAGATCCTGCTTTTTTCCCTTTAACGTTCCTATGTAAGCATTTTTCCATGTGACTGCAGAGTCTCCATAACAAGATTATTTAGCCAGTCCCTTCGGCTGGACATGAGAGCCTTTTTCAGTTATATCTGAGTGGCTCAGATGATACCTCCTCCCGTGAGTCCAGACACCTTCTCATGGAAGCTTTCCAGGTAACATTCCACCAAGCTCAAGTCTTCCTTGTGTAAAATAAACACACACACACCTCCAGCAATCCCAACCCCCTGCCCCCTCCAGTTTCCATACGGTCTCAGACCTCACAGCCAAACTTCGGGAGTCACCCTCACCCATCCACCTCTACCCACTGGGTCTCCCTCCCATTCCCCACCCCGGCCCTGGCCTGGGCCCTGGAGTTCTCCCTCTGTACTGTCTCCCTCTCCATGACATCCCTGCCCACCTTTGGGCTCCAGCCCCAATCTCCTGCCAGACAATCAGGGATTTCCAGTTCTCCAGCCCTGTCCCTCTCATCAATGGCCAAGTCCTGCCCATGTCCCCTCCTTGACAGTCCTACTCCACCTATTCCTCCCCACTCAGCCACCAACATCCTGGTTCATGCCCCAGTAGCTCCCATGGGCTGGCACTCTGGCCCCTAACTCCTCTTCCTGCCTCCATCGTGTCCTCCCTCCCACCCCACGGTAGTCAGGCTCAACAGTTCAGCTGGAGTACTTGTGGGTTTTTTCAAACAAAAATCTGACTGCGTCACTCCCTGGAGGAAACACCTTTCAGAGCTCCCTATGGCCTTCGAGATGAAGCCCAAACCCCTGAGGCTGGACTGCAGGCCTTGGGTGCCCTGGTCCTGGCTCACCTCTGCAGCCTCACCTCTCCCCACCCCCATCGCACTCTACACTCCACCCCTAGAGGACGACCTGCAGTCCCAGGTACATTCCAAGCTTCTCGCACTTCCTTGTTTTTTTTTTGTTTTGTTTTGTTTTGTTTTTTTATTATTATTCTAGGGTATTGTGAGGGTACAAACATTATAGTTACACTTTATGTCTTTGCCTCACCCAGGTGTAGGTTAAAGGCATGCCCTTCCCTCCATTTAGTGCTCCCCGTGTCCTTTAGTTGTAGATTTGCCCCCCTAGGCAAGAATTCTTGAAGAAGAACCCCAAAGCAATCGCTGCAGCAACAAAAATAAATAAGTGGGATCTAATCAAATTAAAAAGCTTCTGCACTGCCAAGGAAACTATCATTAAAGAGAATAGACAGCCCACAGAATGGGAAAAAATATTTGCTCTCTACACATCTGATAAAGGGCTGATAACCAGAATCTATCTAGAACTCAAAAAAATCAACAAGAAAAAATCAAACTTCCTCGTTTTTTGCACATTGTTGTTTCCTTTTCATGGTCCTTCTTTCCCCTCCACTGACTTCTTTGGCTGGATCACTTCTAATTCTACAGGTCCTAGCTCAGAGGTCACCTCCTCCAGAAAGCCTCCTGACTTCCTCCCCAACTGTCCATTTATCTGTTTTCAGTGTGGCTTGTGACTAAGTCCTTCACTCCCCACTCCCTGACCACACCCAAGTCTCTTTGACTTCACACCCTGAGGACAAAGTCGTTGTCTAATTCACCTTGAAACCCTTGATCTGGGCCAGGTGCAGTGGCTCACGCCTGTAATCCTAGCACTCTGGGAGGCCAAGGCGGGAGGATGGCTTGAGCTCAGGAGTTCAAGACCAGCCTGAGCAAGAGCAAAACCCCGTCTCTACTAAAAATAGAAAGATTAGCCAAGCGTGGTGGTGCATGCCTGTGGTCCCAGCTACTCGGTAGGCTGAGGCAGGAGGATCCCTTGAGCCCAGGAGTTTGAGGTTGCGGTGATCTGTGATGACACCACTGCACCCTACCCAGGGAAACAGAGCGAGACTGTCTCCAAAAAAAAAAAAAATCCTGTGACCCGGCATGTTGCTCGATACATGTCAAATGCATGACTGAACAGAAATCGGTGAACATCTCGATATATAAACTTTTCCCACACTGAAGATTAACTCCTTTGAACAGAATCCCAGAAGTTGGGAATTACTGAATTAAAGAAGATGAGTATCTAAAGCTTTCAATTTCTATACTTAAGTAGATTTCCAAAAGGCTGTGGCAACCACACTCCCACTGCAAGTATAAGAGTGCTTATCTCACTGTGCTCTTGCAGCTTGGCTATTTTCATTATATCTTTTTTTAAGGTGCTCATTTTATAGGCAAAACATACCACCTTGTTCTAATTTGTATGTCTTTGATTACTGGTGAGGGTGAACATTTTTCCTTATGTTTGAATATGGAATGTACTTCTTCTTTGAGGATTCACCTGTTCGCGTGACGCGGGAACTGTTAAGGCAAGATGACTCTGGGGGCTGTGTAGGGACTGACCAGAAGCAGGACGGGATCTGCTGCAATGGTCCTGGTGACGGACAAGCAGGCCAGTGTCACCTCGCCGTGGGGGCTGCAGGGAGGAGGAGGGGCAGAGATCAAGGAGGCCAAGTCAGCCCAACCTGGGGGCAGGTGGCAAACGGTGGGTGGTGGGGGGTTTGGGGAGAGATGGGGTGTGGCCAGGTTTCTGGCTTGGCTGAGTGAAGAGAGCGAGGTGCTATGTGCTGAGATGTGCCCAGGTGGACATGGGCACACACACACCCCTGAAAGGTAGGGCTCAGAGCTCTTTTCTAGTTACACCCAGTGAGAAATGGTTATGGGGTAGCAGACAAGGCTGGGGCAGGAGGGTCGGAGGCAAGCAGACTTTGTGAAGGAGACCAGGCGAGCCAGACTTTGGAAGGATTTGTCAGGCAGCAAGTGGAGCTAGGAGTTTTCCCAGGGGACAATGAGGGTCTGTTCAGGAAAAAGGAGCAGCAGCAGCAGCAGCAGAAGCCGAAGTTTAGTAAGCCCACTAAAACAATGGGCAAAGCCTGTTCTAGTCACTTAGCAGTGTTACTCAATGCCTATGACAGCCCTCGGAGGCCGGTATTCTCATTATCCCCTTACAGATGAGAAGACTGACGTGCAGAGGGCCTGGCCTTGCCCAAGACCAGACAGCTAATGAGTGTCGGAGCTGGGATTCAGACCCAGGAATGTGGCCCCAGTGTCTGTGCTCCTTACACATGGTTCCTGTCTCACTAGAGACGTGGGCACATGGCAGGGGAGGGGTGAATGCCCCCCAGGAGGAGCTCGTCCAAACTCTCAACACTTGGGGCCCTTCCTGGAAAACAACTAACCATGGACAAATCCCAAAGCCCACGTCCTCTGAGCCAGGAATGGAGGAACTCATTGGCCCTGTGACCAGAGCCGCCACACACATGTGGTCTCTGACCACAGCCAGCCCACAGACTAGTCTCTAAGACCCAGGCAGTTCTTGACCCCCAGTTACCAAGCCACAAACGCCCCTGTACCCTCTCCTGGCCTTCTCCTCCAGGCCAAGGTCGGTTTCACTCCCCATCCAGGCTAAGCACCCCAACCCCCAATGTTACCACCCCCCAAATGTGCCAAAGTCAGGCCCTGCAGCACGGCTGAGGAAAGCAAAGGACTGACCATCTAGATGCTCATCCTCAGGGCCCTGGCCAGGCAAATTACGCCTTCTCCAATCAGTGGCATATTAGGCAGCTGAACAAAAGGGGCAGGACGTTCCTTAAGTACCGAGCTGGACTAGCCTCACAGATGTAACGGTCAGTGAAAAAGGAAAACTGCAGAACGGCTTGTCCACTGTGCTGCCATTTGTGGGGCAACAACAAAAGAGGAAGACAGACAGAAAGAATTTGCCTGTATATGTATAAACCATCTCTTTTTGTTAAATTTTTTCAATTTTAGGATGTATCAGACATTAAATGGGTAAGAACAGATACTACACTTGATCTTAGCCAAAAGGCCAAGAAGCGATGTATCAACCATCTCTTGAAGGACACACAAAAACTGGTAACACCAGCTGCCTCCATCCAGAGGAACCAGTCGGCCAGAAACAGACTTTTCACATGTATACTCTTTTATCCCTCTGAATGTCTGTACCATGTGAATAGAATATATTCTCATTTAAAAAGGCAAATAAAATGAAACATTAAAATTATACAAATAATTTCTCGTATACATGTGCATATAAATACGTGTGGATAGAAATAAACAATGCCTTTCCCCCCAGGGCCTGGAAGAGAATCTTCTGGCGACGGATCCTACTTGCACTTGGCCTCTTGGGCCTACTCCTGTATGTGCTCCCTAGTGTCAGGTACATGCCCCTTCCCCTAGCCCTTGAGGGGGGACCACCAGAGTCAGGGTTAAAGTGGATCTTTCTGAGTGCCTCCTGAGGGATCAAGGGTGGTGGCTAGCTCGGCCTGGGCATGTGTCCTTGGGGCTCTCCCTCCTTGTAAGGAGCAAAGCAAGAGGGCTCCTGAGCAGGCCGACATGTCCCTCACTTCTGTCCCCACCCCACAGGCATCTGGAAGTTCTCATCCCCATGGGTGTCTGCCCAGCGGCCACAATGTCCCTGCTGAGAGACAACTTCACAGGTGTCCTGCGTCCCTGGTAAGAGCTACCATCCCTCCCACTCTGAGAGCACCCCCCAAACCTACAGAGTTCTGCCTCACCCCAGCAGAGCCAGGCACTCTGCACATCAACACCAGCAGCCCCATCAGGCCACCCATCTCCCAGTCCTCTAACTGCTATTCTGAGCTAGGGGCTTCTAGGGACAGGGACTGATCCATCTGTGGGTGGCTGAATGAATGGAGGTGGCAGTGAACATGCACCAAGTGGGTAGACGAATCGAGCTGTCTCCCATCCCTGCCCTGGCCAGGGCCCGGCCTGAAGTCCTGACGTGTACCTCCTGGGGGGCTCCCATTATTTGGGATGGCACCTTCGACCCAGATGTGGCCCAGCAAAAGGCTGGACAGAAGAACCTCACCATTGGGCTGACTGTCTTTGCCATAGGCAGGTAAGGCCTGGGTAGGGGAGTGGTGCTGCCCAGGCAGGGAGTGGGAGGGGTATGCATGTGATGTAGGAAGTGGGGCACCCTGTTCCCCTGTGTTCTGTGCCATCAGATCTCAAAGTGAAGCAAGAGGCAGAGACAGCACCCCTTGTCCCAGACTCCCAGGGTGAGCACAGGACCATCCTTCTCTGCCTCTCTGGACACCAATACCATACAGCCCACCCAACACAGGCAGCCAGGGGTTCAGAACCATGTCTAGAAGGGGCTGCCCAGGGCCTGGCGCTGGTCCATCTAGGTGTGTGGTGAGAAAATCATGAAGTCTTTCAAGTGAGAGTGGTGACAAGAGAGGGTGAGCGACTGGGTAAGTAGAGGGATGATTCTCTGCAGTAAGTGCCCATTGGAGGTCAGGGGCTCAGGTGCAGGCACACAGTGGGAGTTGGGGGTGCCCAGCACACCTGATGGAGGAAGAGGGACTGAGGAGCTGAGGAGTTTTTCAAGGGAGTGAATCCAAGCTGGGTAAAGAGGGAAGTAAAGAGAGGAGGAGGGTGATAGACACTGAGAAAGTGGCAGGGTCACCAGATTAGAGGACTTGGTGAGGGAGGACTGTTTGTGGAGAAGGGGGAGGGGCAATAATCAGAGTAAGTAAGCTAGAAGGATGAGGTCGCAGCACCAGAGCAAGCACCACCAAGGCCCCAGACCCCAGAAGCAGCAGCCTGGACAGCTGGGCTAGGGCCAGTGGCCCGAACACCCTCTGCAGTCCCACTCCTGGGCCTTCATGGGCCTCAACAGCCCCCAAAACAAACAAACAAACAAACAAACAAAAAAACAAATGAGAACAGAAGTATGAGGTCCTCACAGAGTGGGACAGACACTGATGATAACCAAGTCCAGGGAGTGGCCATGGGAGCAGATGACGGAGGGGCGAAGAGGACAGAACCACTGCAGGAGAGGGCAATCACAGGACCGAGGCGCCCGGGCAATGGATGGGCTTCTAGGTGTGGAGAAGAAATGGCAGGGGCATTGACCTCCCCATTATGGATGGGAGGGGGTGTCCAACAGGTGTCCACCTGCCAGAAGTGATGCAAAAGGGACTCCTGGCCTAGCATGGCAATCAGATCCTACAACCCCCAAGGTACAGAGAACAGAGTTCAGTGCAATTAAAGGAAGCATTTCTAATAATGCAATAGACTGCTCTGGGAAGGCAGTAAGAGCTTCCCATCCAGGAAGAGATATTCCAAAGGCTGGGGAAAGAATTTTGTTATCAGATACCCCACACAACTGTTCAAGGCTCCTCCAACTCTGTCCCTACACCCTAGAAGGGAGAGAAAGCCAGGAAGGCTGTTGAAAGGCAAGGGGGCAAACAGGACCAAGAACAACCCACAGACAGATGGGCAGAACTATTAACAGTAGGCCACTTGGGGCCTTGGCCTCTCCCAGGGCCTTGATGCCCCATTTCCGTTATGCATACTCAGTAGGGTGTTCCTGCACCAGCCCTAGGGGTCAGGGTCTCAAGGAAAAGAAATTCCACGATCCTGAGTTCCAAGACGGTATGAGTCCAACACCCTGGGATGCTGCTACCTAAGTCTGTGATTCCAGTTTCCCACAGTCCCACGAGGAATGGAGCAAATGTGAGTAAAGGTACAGAATCCAATGCCAAGCTGGTTCAAATCCTGGCTCTACCTCCCACCAACTGTGCATACTTGTGCAAGTTACTGAAGCTCTTCAAATGAGATAATTCACAGACTCTGTGGTGTCTGCCACGTGATAAACGTTCACAGTATTCGGCATTGTTACTATTATTTAATCTCAAGGTCTGTCAATACAAAGCGTCCAATATTCCAAGCAGTCTGGTTATCCAGGTAAAGAAGCAAACCCAATGACTTAAAACAACTTATAATTATAGCTCACATAATAATTTTGTGGGTCAGGAATTCAGACAGGGCTCAGCAGGAAGGGCTCCCCACTAGTCCCAAATGCCCGGCTCTCAAATGGGAGACCAACTGCTGAAAACCGGTGGGGCACCTCTCTCCATGGCTAGATTGGGCTTCCTCACATCATGGCAGCATCGAAGTTCTGGGACTTCTTAAACAAAGGCGCAGAGCTCTCAAGAGACAACCGCTGCCAGTCCCCCAAAAGGCCGGCATAGCGCAAGCGTGGCAAACAATTGGCAAGCATCTTTAACCCGCCCCCGCCCCAAAGTTGAACGATTCTGGAAGGTTCTGCAGTTCCACGGACTGGCACGGGGAGCACCGGGCAGCACGAAGGGGTGGGGAAGGGGCGGCCTCGCCGCGCGGGGCGCCGCTTTCAGGCTGACAGTGCCGCCCGCCCGGCAGATACCTGGAGAAGTACCTGGCGCGCTTCCTGGAGACGGCCGAGCAGCACTTCATGGTGGGCCAGCGCGTGGTGTACTACGTGTTCACCGAGCGACCGGCCGCCGTGCCCCGCGTGGCGCTAGGCCCCGGCCGCCGGCTGCGCGTGGAGCGTGTGGCGCGCGAGCGGCGCTGGCAGGACGTGTGCATGGAGCGCATGCGCACGCTGCACGCGGCGCTGGGTGGGCGGCTGGGCCGCGAGGCGAGCTTCGTGTTCTGCATGGACGTGGACCAACACTTCAGCGGCGCCTTCGGGCCCGAGGCGCTGGCCGAGTCGGTGGCGCAGCTGCACGCCTGGCACTACCACTGGCCGCGCCGGTTGCTGCCCTTCGAGCGCGACGGGCGCTCGGCCGCCGCGCTGGCGCCGGGCGAGGGCGACTTCTATTACCACGCGGCCGTGTTCGGGGGCAGCGTGGCGGCGCTGCGCGAGCTGACGGCGCACTGCGCGCGGGGCCTGCGGCGGGACCGCGCGCGCGGCCTGGAGGCGCGCTGGCACGACGAGAGCCACCTCAACAAGTTCTTCTGGCTGCACAAGCCCGCCAAGGTGCTGTCGCCCGAGTTCTGCTGGAGCCCGGAAATCGGCCGACGGGCCGAGATCCGCCGCCCGCGCCTGCTCTGGGCACCCAAGGAGTACGGGCTGCTGCGGGACTAGCGCCACCGCCGGGGCCCAGCGCCCGGCCTGGCCCGGCCCCACCAGCCGGGTGCCATGGGCACCGCGAGCGTGTGGAGTGGAGTCACAGGAAGGAGATCCTGAAGCCAGTCGGGGTCCCTTCTGGAAGCGGCCTGGCACTTTGGGGGGCAGAGAGATACTGGATGAAAAAAGCTCTACCTCCTCTCTCGTGTGCCCGTCCCTGCGAGTGGGAGGAGCTCCTAGCCTTGGGGATTCTCTCACTTGAAGAGAAAAATCCCCTCCCTCGCTTTATTTTTTTTCTTTTTTTTATCTTTTTTTCTTTTTTTATATTACGGGCTGTGGCCAACCCTTCCCTCGCTTTCAACAGTGGCTGAAGCACAACTGCAATAGTGACTCGCATAAGCAGTCTGTAGACCTTTCACATCTGACCTTACGGCCTCTTAGAGAGATGTCATAGTCTCACCCACCCCTCCTTTTTTTAATAAGGAGACTGAGGCATAAAGAGGCAGGGTAGGTAAAAAAGTAACCGCCCAAGGACACAGACTATGTAACCGTCCAGTGATGTCAGCAGTTGGAGAGCCAGGACTGGCCCCTCGGGCCACTTACAGCTGCCTCTGGGCATGAGACGCAGGGAGGAACACAGGTGGCCTCACCATGGGCTCTGCCTTTTTATCTCCCGTGCCCATAAGCATAGTTTATGCTTATTTGAGTCATGTTATCATAGATAAATTGTTTCTGTGAGACAAAATAGCAAACCTAAGAAGCCACCGACTGCTCATCTCTGCTTGCCAGCGGCATTTCACAAAGCGTGACTCTGTGACCGCGAACAGCTCTCCAGAAAGATGCTTTGAAGACAAGACAATTTAGAGCACAGGGCCCGCCACGTCTGTATTGATCCTGGCCTTTTCCTACACATGGGTCTGAGGAAGTTAGTGGTGATGCTTCTGTAAACTATAACCAGATGTGCTCTAAATCTCCACCACCTATGTATAAACTGTGAGCTAAAATACTGCATTACAACAGTCTGCTAGAACCTCTCTAAAGGCTGCTCCCGGGCTGTAGACTTCAGTCTATAGTCCTCAGTGAGACTTCTAAATAAAACTAACTTAAATTCTTTAAAAGCTTGATTTTTTTTTTTCTTTAATAGGCAACCATGGCAACCACGCAGGGATCCAGAGTAGACTGTCCAGAGTTGTCTGAAACATTTTGGGGACCCAGTGCCTTGGTGCCGGGACGAACCCTTTGAGCCCCTCCAGCTCCCTAACGGTTGCAAACTGGGCTGAGTTTCTCCTGAGTCTCGGGCCTCCCACTTGGTTGATTGTCCTGAGTTTTTAATCAGCTAGTTGCTCTTACTCCTTGAGGAAAGGACAAGTCCTTCCTGGAGAATTTTGTTTCTCAAAAAGAGGAATTCTCCTGCTCGAAAGATGCTAAGAAGGAACAGATGTGTGAGGCTGTCTGATTGGCTCAGTTGTGACAGTGCTTTCCCTTTCAATTTGACTCCACAAACAAGGCTCTCACAATGGGAAATAAATCATCCAAAACTGAAACAACAGGGACGCCAGGCAACCAACCTTCAGTCAGGACTCCGGCAGGCTTCATGGATAACACGTACGGAGCCTCTGCTTGCCAGTATCTCCCTAGATGGGAGTTTACTAAAGGAGATCTAACACAAAAGTGGCCAAAAACGGGATTCTCAAACAGGAAGGCATGCCAGATTTTTTAGTACTTCAGTCAACTACATCTTATGGCCTGTTCCTGTACAAATTTTTTAATTGATAGACAAATTACATTGAGAAAAATTCAAAACTCAAATGATCATTATTCAAAAAACCGACAATACAGAGTTAACATGTAGAGTTTTCTAAGTTCTCCATCTCCCTATTTTTTTTTTCTTTCTGCCTACTTTAAATCTGCAGTCTTTTCTACTGGTGTTAAGATAAAACTGACTACTTAATGGTATTACTAATTCAAGGCTACTTAGAGATTTTATTTTTCTTACACAATTCAACCAGTTGTAGCTAAAATGTAAACATTAAAGATTTAACCCTACACTCACTTAAAACTGAAGAAAAAAAGAGCAAAAGAGGTTTTTAAATCAAACCATCATTAAAACTATTTAATACTTTATCCAAAATTTTGCTCTGTAGCCTTCATTAGACTACCTTCAGGACAAATAAAGTTTAGCCATATAAATAGGTCCCAATTTTGTCAAAAATAATTTGAATCCAACCATCTTTTATAAACCAGTGAGTCTATATTACTATCTCATTACTAAACTTCTAAAATAGAAGCTATAAG